GCAGCGGTGAGCCAGGCTGTAACGGAAGACCACTAGACGAAGGGAGACTAAGAACCTGGCGAAGCACAGAGTCAGACGGTGGCTGAGACGACGGAGACGCCGGAGCAAAGAACTGGCGTGGCTGTGCAGTGCCACCAGCACCAACAGCTCAAGCACCCCCACCAGCGAAAGCACCTCCACCAGCTCCAGAACCCTCAGCGCCAGCTCCTCCAGGACCAGCTCCACCAGCAGCAGCACCCCCAGAATCGGCACTTCCAGTCCCAAGGTCTTCAGCCTCAGTGTCTCCAGCAGTAGCACCCCCAGACCCAGGGTCTCTAGCAGTAGCACCCTCAGGCTCAGCACCTCTAGCCCCAGCTACTCCAGTACCTCCAGTACAAGCACCTCCGGGACCAGTACCACTCCCAGCTCCGGAACCTCCAGCAGTAGAGCCCCGAGCTCCAGAAACACGACCCTGACGGCGACCGTACCAGTCGTGCAGCTGCTGTGAGGTGAGAGGCACATGCGGACGAAGGCGGCTACTCCAAGGAGACCGCGCATCACCAGACTCACAACCCTCAGCGCCTAAACCCGCAGTAGCTCCAGAACCTCCTGCGCTAGCACCCGCAGCAGCTCCAGAACCTCCAGCTCCAGCACCTCCAGCAGCTCCAGAACCTCCACCTCCAACACCCTCAGCAGCTCCATAACCTCCAGTAGAAACAACTCCAGTAGCAGAATCACCAGCTCCAATGCCTCCCGCAGTAGGGTCCCTAGCTCCAGTGCGACCCTGACGGCCAATGTACCACTCACGCAGCTGCTGTAGGGAGAGAGGGAGTTGACAACGAGAGTGCAGCAGCGAGGCACCAGCTGAGCGACTACGCAGACGGCCGCTCCAGGGAGACTGCTCACCAGACGCCTCAGCGCCCCCAGGTGCAGCACCCCCAGACTCAGTACCCCCAGGCTCAGCACCCCCAGACTCCTCACGCCCAGGCTCAGCACCTCTAGTCTCCGCACCCCCAGGCCCCGCTCCTCCAGGCTCCGCACCCCCAGGCTCAGCACCCCCATGCTCCGCACCCCCAGGCTCAGCACCCCCAGAAGCAGCACCCCGAGCAGGACCACCCTCAGCACGACCTGAGTCACCAGTGACCTCAACCGGCGTAGTCAAGGGAGGAGGGTCTACCTGAGACACACCTGTAAGGAGCAGGACCGGGAGCGGGGAGGGGGTCTACCTGGGGAGCACCTGGAGTGAGGAAGAGCGGGGGGGGGGGGGGAGAGGGGCAGTGCGGTAGGGGAAGAGACGGTAAAAGGGAACCGACTCGTCGAACGTGACGTCCTGAGAGGGGAAGACACGGCGCGAGATGGGGTGGTAAAACTGCCAACCAGGCGCGTCAGGGACAAAGCCAAGGAAGACACAAGGAACAGCGTGGGCGAAGAGCTTGTCCGCGGTGGTATCGCGGACAAAGGCACGAGCACCCCAGACCCGGAAACGCGACGCATCGCCAACCTTCCCCGTCCACAGCAGTGTGGGCGCGGTCTCCGGTAAGGAGACACGGGGCCAGAGGTTGAGCTGATGCGTGGCGTACCGGACCGCAAACGGCCACAGAAAATGGGGGGCAGCCGCATGGATCATGGAGGTACGAGCGACCTCCATGACTAAGCCAATGCGGCGCTCAGCAACCCCATTTTTCTGCGGAGAGGCTGGAAGCGTGAACGTCTGGCGGATGCCGTGCTCCACACAGAAGGCTGCCAAGAGGTGTGAGGAGAACTCCCCACCTCTGTCAGAGTGCAGACACAAGACAGGAAAGTCCGACTAGAACCGCTCGCGGAGCTGGAGATGAACAGCGCGGATCCAGGGGATCAAAACATCAGGGACATCCCCCTTGCGCTGCAAGGGGAAGACCGTGGTGTAACGCGTGTAGTCGTCGACGACCAGCAGGAAGTACCGCTCGTGGCCCTGTCCACGGACGCGGGCTGGGCCCCACACGTCCAGGTGGAGAGTCTGCAGGGGAGCCTCTGTGGGAGGGAACGAGGAGGAGTGAGGAGCGGCGCGCTGCCGCCCCTCGACACAAGGAAGACAGGGAGGAGCAGGCGAGGGTGGGAGGGGAGGGAGAACCCTGGGAAGACCAGAGACAATGACACGGCGGTGCATGCTACGAAGGCGCTGCACCAAGGGGTGACCAAGGCGGTGGTGCCAAAGGAGGGTGTGGTGCGACAAAGTGCGGCACGAGCAGGTGGCTGCTAGCTAACCTGACGAAGGCGCAAACGCAGCGACATGAGGGGACACAGTAGTCAGTGTGTACAGACGCGAGCCAGGCGCACGGGTAAACGTGGCCAGGTGCCGGCCCGTCTAAGAGCACGTACAGTGGGTCACGCGCTGACCTCCAGGAGTGAACTGGTCAGCCCACTGGTCGTGGAGGTCAGCACCACTCACCAAGTTCGTAGAGAACGAGGGGAGGTGAAGACTTGACAGGGAGCCAGACGGGACCGCCGGACACGGCAGGACCGTGGAGGAGTGCGTAAGGACTGGACCCCCAGAGGGGTCTGCCAGGGAGACTGCAACCGGCCGACTGAGCGGCGTGAGGGTGGTGCTGTAGTGAAAGAAGGAGCGGGAAGCACCTGAGTCAAGTGTGAAGGTGTACAAGGCCTCAGCAGGCGCAGTATCAGAGAGAGCAGACTCACCAGCACCTAGAGCAGCAGTCTCACCAGCACCTAGAGCAGGAGACGCACTAGCACCTAGAGCAGCAGGCTCTATACCTGGGTCAGGCGGTACGCACAGGTAACAGGCACGGTTAGCACTAATAGGCCATACATACATGGCAGTGAGAATAGCATCATAGTTAAGAGCAAAGATATCTACCCTCTGTCCAAGCAGCTCCAGCCAGGTGGGGAGCTCAGCCTCGTCGCCAAACTCGGTACGCTAGGCGTCGCTCAGACGGGCGAAGCAGCGGGACTTCGGTGACCAAGCGTCCCGCAAGCCTGACCAGCCCGATCACCTGTGCAAATGAGGTACGGGCAGCGAACGGTACTCAAAGACCCTCTACTCTGAGCGTACCACTCACGAAGCTGCTTGGGCGTAAGTGTCTCGCGCGGACGCCGCTGCAGCTGGCCACTGCCAGACGCTCCCGACTGACCAGCTCCAGGGCGACAGCCGCGACGGCTACCGCCACAACCCCAACTAGCGTACCACTCACGAAGCTGCTGAGGCGTGAGAGACTCGCGCGGACGTCGCTGGAGCTGCATCTGGCCACCGCCAGTAGCAGCGGTAGCAGTAGTAGCAGCAGCAGCGCGGGCATGGCAGGCGCGGCAGGCAGGCACGCAGAGGGCGCGGCAGCGTGCGAACAAGGCAGGTGCTCACCAGTGGCGGGCATGGCCGGCGCTCGGCAAGCGGCGGCAGGGTAGGCGCACGACGGCGGCGACCGTGGGGCCGCAGTAGCGGCTGCAGAGTAGGGCCGCAGCAGCTGCAGGGCGGGGCCGCGTCAGCGGCAAGTCGGGGCCGCGTCAGCTGCAGGGCTGGCGGGGCCGCGTCAGCTGCAGGGCTGGCGGGGCCGCGTCGGCGTTCGGGCGGGGCCGCGTCGGCGGCAGGGCGCGGCCGCGTCAGAGGCAGGGCGGGGCCGCGTCGACGGCAGAGCGCGGCCGCGTCAGAGGCAGGGCGGGGCCGCGTCGGCGGCAGGGCGCGGCCGCGTCGGCGTCCGGGCGGGGCCGCGTCGGCTGCAGGGCGCGGCCGCGTCAGAGGCAGGGCGCGGCCGCGTCAGAGGCAGGGCGGGGCCGCGTCAGAGGCGGGGCGGGGCCGCGTCGGCGGCAGGGCGGGGCCGCGTCAGAGGCAGGGCGGGGCCGCGTTGGCGGCAGGGCGCGGCCGCGTCAGAGGTAGGGCGGGGCTGCGTCGGCTGCATGGTGCGGCCGCGTCAGAGGTAGGGCGCGGCCGCGTCAGAGGCAGGGCGGAGCCGCGTCGGCTGCAGGGCGCGGCCGCATAAGAGGCAGAGCGCGGCCGCGTCAGAGGCAGGGCGGGGCCGCGTCGGCGACAGGGCGCGGCCACGTCAGAGACAGGGCGGGGCCGCGTCAGCGGTAGGGCGGGCCGCGACAGCGACCTGGCGGGGCCGTGTCGGCGGCAGGGCGGGGCCGCGTCAGCGGCAGGGCGGGGACGCGTCAGCGAACTGGCGGGGCGGCGCTCTGGCCTGACGGGCCTGCAGGGGCGGCTCGCGGGCCTGACGGGCCTGCAGGGGCGGCTCGTGGGCCTGACGGGCCTGCAGGGGCGGCGCGTGGGCCTTACGAGCCTGCAGGGGCGGCGCGCGGGCCTTACGGGCCTGCACGGGCGGCGCGCTGGCCTAGGGCAGCAGGAGGCAGCGCGAGGGCTGTAGGACGGCGCGCGCAGCGCAGCACGTCACAAGGCAGGGCAGGCAGGCAGGCTCAGGACAACACGTGGGGTAGCGCGGTAACCGCAACGGTAGGTGGGCCCGAAAAAAAAGACGGTGCTACGGACCTAGTGCTCTGAAACCATCTCAGAATCCAGCAGCAGGAATGCATGTACTATGGAAGAGTTGGGTACAAGTATGAAACCCTTAACAGGCTGTACCCCATATTGGCTACCCCATTACAGCCTACACACATATAACATGCATATACTTAGACAGGCACATCAGGGTAAAACATGGTCCTTCAAAAATTACCCAACCGCATCAGTGCTACTACCAAAAACCACCCTGATAATCAGGGCATCAGGGTGATTTACCCTGATAAACTAGGCCCTGGTCTTCACCCGCAGATGTACTTTGTTTATTTCAACTGTCGAACACCATGCCTCATCAATATAAGGTATGCTGCTTGGTTTGTCACATTAACGCATCCACCACACACCTGATGCATTCCCTCACAAAGCTGCAAACCAACAATGCATACGTATGTTGTTTGTGGGTCACACCCACTGCATCTGCATCTTACGCTCCCAACAATGCCTGTTCCACCATCCATATACCCCAACTGAGCATCTCCCTGCCCACCTTCCATTGCATCCCCCACCCACCCACATCCTACGGTGTATGAGTGAGCCCTCTAGATGAAGCCATCACAACATACACCAAGTGCTGCAGCGCACTCTCCAGCTTCTCCCGTGCCGCTTTCCCATCTGCCACCAATCCATCGGCCACACTGCCCTTCTTCACCTCCACTCGTCTCACCAAAGCTGCTGTTGCTGCCTCCGCCTCTGCTACTGCCGCCGCCGCCGCTGCTTCTTCTCCGGTTACCCCTTCTGCTGCTACATCTGTGGGTTCTTTCCTGGAGCCACTCCCTGTAGTGCTCCTTGTGCTGACACTTTGGAAGGCCTGCTCCACGTCAGCAACACCTGAAGACAATTCAAAATATAATGACATTGAGAAAAGAATATGATGGGCCGTACCAATATAACAGAGTTACAACACATGAAAGGCACAAGCAAACAAACGAAACTCAGAGGGCATGTGTCAACACTCTCGCAGCCAGCAGACCAGCAGCACAGTGCAGGCAGCAAGGAAGCAAGCAAGCACGAATCAAAGCACACCAAGCAAGCAAGCAAGAATCACAGCACGCCAAGCAAGCAAGCAAGCAAGAAAGAACCAAAGCACGCCAAGCAAGCAAGCACACACCTTTGAGGAAGCTACGGATGACTGTCCTGGCCCCCCTGGCCAGAGTACGTGCCCGTGCCACCACCAGCCTGGCTCTCTCCTCCCTCCCTGCCGGCCACCGGAACGAGCCTGTGTCTTCCTCCTCCTCTGCAGCATCGCCCTCCGTGGGCTTGGCCGCCGGCGAGGCAATGCAGGAGTTTGCAATGTGCAGCATGTGCAGCAGACACAGCGCTGATAGCTCCGACAGGCGCTGCAGGCGGAGGGCGGGACAGGGGGGAGAATGGGGGAAAGTGGTGGGGGGATGGGGGAGGTTGGGGGTTGGAACAGAGAGCAAGAGACGTACAGTGGGAAGGGCGGCGGGGGGGGGGGGGGGGGGGGAGGAGGGGTGATTTGAATCTGTATCAGGATGTGATGCGGAAGATGAGATAGGACGAAGAGGCGGATTTGGCAATCGGCAGGAGGAAGAGGGGTAACGTTGAAGGTTGGGAAATGGGGAGGTAAACTAGGAAGGGAGAGAAGGACGAGGCGGGGAAGGAGGATGTGGAAATGGGGTCTCTTGGAAAAGGTGGGGACAATGCACGAAAGGATTCAGTAACAAGATAGGCCAAACATGACTTGAACACACTGGACCGTAAGAAGATTCCAACTACTAAAAAAAGATAGCTAAGCTTCCCTGCCATGCATTCCAGCCAGCTCAAATGTACACTCCAGCTCAATGCTGACATCCTCGTACCACCCCCATGCACACCCCATGCCCAACACGCTTTTCCCCCCTCTTATCCCTCCCTCAAGTCGTGTCCCCTTGTCCCTTTACAGACTCATAGCAGGCCCTCTTCCCATAGCACACATGCACGGCCTCTCCCCCGTGGCCCCTCCCAGGCTCACATGCACACCCTCAGTGCGGAGGGCGTCGAGGCGGTCCACTGTGCGCTGCACCGCCTCCTTCACCGGCACCTCCGCACTCAGCTTCGCACGGAACCTGCCATGCACCATGCCGCATGCCATGTGCCCCATGCCATGCGCCCCATTCGACACACACGAGTAGGTGGAGGGGGTAAAGGAACGAGGGAGATGGAATGGAATTGGGGATCAGGGAGGGCAAGGTGTGGATTGAGAAATACAGAGTGACATGTAGGAATGAGAAGCGTGGCAAGCGGAAAAAAAAAAACAAAAAAAGCTACGGAAGCAGAACGAATGAGGGCGCATGAGCATTTCATTCCCAGTCTTCTGAACCTTCCATCCATCCGTATCTCCTCTTTCTCCACACCCACCCACCCCACACAGCGCACTGCAGCGAACAGAGCCCACTCACCCACTGGCGAGCTCCTGTGCCTTGCTCACACTCGACTCCCTCAGCACATTCATCTCATCCTCCTCTTCCTCCATGCCCTCTATCCCCAGCAACTCCTCCCCCGCACCCCCCTCACCCTCCTCCTCGTCCTCCTCCCCCTCCCCGCCCTGCTCCCCCAGCGTGAGTGCGCCCTGCATGTGCTTCACGGCGTCGTCAAACGCCGCGCGCTGCTCCGCAGGCAGCTTGCCGCGTGCTCGTATGCACACCACCATGTGGTGGTCCGCCAGGGCCTCCAGCGACTGACGGAGGGAGGAGTGTGGGTGGGGTAGAGTGAGAGTGTGGGGTGCGGGGACTGGGCAGGGCAGCCGGGTCAGCTTGCCGTGAAATCGTATGCACACCACCATGTGGCGGTCCGCCAGGGCCTCCAGCAACTGGTGGAGAGAGGGGCAGGGATGGGGTGTGATGACGGGTGAGGGGTGAGCGTGGAGGGGTGAGGGGTGTGGGTTGGGGCCAGGGCATCCGTGGAAGCTTGCTGCGTGCTCGTATGCACACCACCGTGTGGTAGTCCCCCAGAGCCGGCCTCCAGTGACTGATGGAGTGAGAGGAGGGGTGTCCGGTGAGCGGTGTGGGGTGGCAGTAGGGGTGTGGAGTGTGGCGTTTGGGGCGGAGCCAGGGCATCAGGTGGCACTAAGGTGTGTCCAGTGGTGCTCAGCTGTGTGATTGAGTGCCGCCCATCCATAATGCATTGAGTGCCACCCATCCATAATGCATTGAGTGCCGCCCATCCATAATGCATTGAGTGCCACCCATCCATAATGCATTGAGTGCCACCCATCCATAATGCATTGAGTGCCACCCATCCATAATGCATTGAGTGCCACCCATCCATAATGCATTGAGTGCCACCCATCCATAATGCATTGAGTGCCACCCATCCATAATGCATTGAGTGCCACCCATCCATAATGCATTGAGTGCCACCCATCCATAATGCATTGAGTGCCACCCATCCATAATGCATTGAGTGCCACCCATCCATAATGCATTGAGTGCCACCCATCCATAATGCATTGAGTGCCACCCATCCATAATGCATTGAGTGCCACCCATCCATAATGCATTGAGTGCCACCCATCCATAATGCATTGAGTGCCGCCCATCCATAATGCATTGAGTGCCGCCCATCCATAATGCATTGAGTGCCGCCCATCCATAATGCATTGAGTGCCGCCCATCCATAATGCATTGAGTGCCGCCCATCCATAATGCATTGAATGCCGCCCATCCATAATGCATTGAGTGCCACCCATCCATAATGCATTGAGTGCCACCCATCCATAATGCATTGAGTGCCACCCATCCATAATGCATTGAGTGCCACCCATCCATAATGCATTGAGTGCCACCCATCCATAATGCATTGAGTGCCACCCATCCATAATGCATTGAGTGCCACCCATCCATAATGCATTGAGTGCCACCCATCCATAATGCATTGAGTGCCACCCATCCATAATGCATTGAGTGCCACCCATCCATAATGCATTGAGTGCCACCCATCCATAATGCATTGAGTGCCACCCATCCATAATGCATTGAGTGCCGCCCATCCATAATGCATTGAGTGCCGCCCATCCATAATGCATTGAGTGCCGCCCATCCATAATGCATTGAGTGCCACCCATCCATAATGCATTGAGTGCCACCCATCCATAATGCATTGAGTGCCACCCATCCATAATGCATTGAGTGCCGCCCATCCATAATGCATTGAGTGCCACCCATCCATAATGCATTGAGTGCCACCCATCCATAATGCATTGAGTGCCACCCATCCATAATGCATTGAGTGCCACCCATCCATAATGCATTGAGTGCCACCCATCCATAATGCATTGAGTGCCACCCATCCATAATGCATTGAGTGCCACCCATCCATAATGCATTGAGTGCCACCCATCCATAATGCATTGAGTGCCACCCATCCATAATGCATTGAGTGCCACCCATCCATAATGCATTGAGTGCCACCCATCCATAATGCATTGAGTGCCACCCATCCATAATGCATTGAGTGCCACCCATCCATAATGCATTGAGTGCCGCCCATCCATAATGCATTGAGTGCCACCCATCCATAATGCATTGAGTGCCACCCATCCATAATGCATTGAGTGCCACCCATCCATAATGCATTGAGTGCCGCCCATCCATAATGCATTGAGTGCCGCCCATCCATAATGCATTGAGTGCCACCCATCCATAATGCATTGAGTGCCACCCATCCATAATGCATTGAGTGCCACCCATCCATAATGCATTGAGTGCCGCCCATCCATAATGCATTGAGTGCCACCCATCCATAATGCATTGAGTGCCACCCATCCATAATGCATTGAGTGCCACCCATCCATAATGCATTGAGTGCCGCCCATCCATAATGCATTGAGTGCCACCCATCCATAATGCATTGAGTGCCGCCCATCCATAATGCATTGAGTGCCACCCATCCATAATGCATTGAGTGCCACCCATCCATAATGCATTGAGTGCCGCCCATCCATAATGCATTGAGTGCCGCCCATCCATAATGCATTGAGTGCCGCCCATCCATAATGCATTGAGTGCCGCCCATCCATAATGCATTGAGTGCCACCCATCCATAATGCATTGAGTGCCACCCATCCATAATGCATTGAGTGCCACCCATCCATAATGCATTGAGTGCCACCCATCCATAATGCATTGAGTGCCGCCCATCCATAATGCATTGAGTGCCACCCATCCATAATGCATTGAGTGCCACCCATCCATAATGCATTGAGTGCCACCCATCCATAATGCATTGAGTGCCACCCATCCATAATGCATTGAGTGCCACCCATCCATAATGCATTGAGTGCCACCCATCCATAATGCATTGAGTGCCGCCCATCCATAATGCATTGAGTGCCGCCCCATAATGCATTGAGTGCCACCCATCCATAATGCATTGAGTGCCACCCATCCATAATGCATTGAGTGCCACCCATCCATAATGCATTGAGTGCCACCCATCCATAATGCATTGAGTGCCACCCATCCATAATGCATTGAGTGCCACCCATCCATAATGCATTGAGTGCCACCCATCCATAATGCATTGAGTGCCACCCATCCATAATGCATTGAGTGCCACCCATCCATAATGCATTGAGTGCCACCCATCCATAATGCATTGAGTGCCACCCATCCATAATGCATTGAGTGCCACCCATCCATAATGCATTGAGTGCCGCCCATCCATAATGCATTGAGTGCCACCCATCCATAATGCATTGAGTGCCGCCCATCCATAATGCATTGAGTGCCACCCATCCATAATGCATTGAGTGCCACCCATCCATAATGCATTGAGTGCCGCCCATCCATAATGCATTGAGTGCCGCCCATCCATAATGCATTGAGTGCCGCCCATCCATAATGCATTGAGTGCCACCCATCCATAATGCATTGAGTGCCACCCATCCATAATGCATTGAGTGCCACCCATCCATAATGCATTGAGTGCCACCCATCCATAATGCATTGAGTGCCACCCATCCATAATGCATTGAGTGCCGCCCATCCATAATGCATTGAGTGCCACCCATCCATAATGCATTGAGTGCCACCCATCCATAATGCATTGAGTGCCGCCCATCCATAATGCATTGAGTGCCACCCATCCATAATGCATTGAGTGCCACCCATCCATAATGCATTGAGTGCCACCCATCCATAATGCATTGAGTGCCACCCATCCATAATGCATTGAGTGCCGCCCATCCATAATGCATTGAGTGCCGCCCATCCATAATGCATTGAGTGCCGCCCATCCATAATGCATTGAGTGCCGCCCATCCATAATGCATTGAGTGCCACCCATCCATAATGCATTGAGTGCCGCCCATCCATAATGCATTGAGTGCCGCCCATCCATAATGCATTGAGTGCCGCCCATCCATAATGCATTGAGTGCCACCCATCCATAATGCATTGAGTGCCACCCATCCATAATGCATTGAGTGCCACCCATCCATAATGCATTGAGTGCCGCCCATCCATAATGCATTGAGTGCCACCCATCCATAATGCATTGAGTGCCACCCATCCATAATGCATTGAGTGCCGCCCATCCATAATGCATTGAGTGCCACCCATCCATAATGCATTGAGTGCCGCCCATCCATAATGCATTGAGTGCCACCCATCCATAATGCATTGAGTGCCACCCATCCATAATGCATTGAGTGCCGCCCATCCATAATGCATTGAGTGCCGCCCATCCATAATGCATTGAGTGCCGCCCATCCATAATGCATTGAGTGCCGCCCATCCATAATGCATTGAGTGCCACCCATCCATAATGCATTGAGTGCCACCCATCCATAATGCATTGAGTGCCACCCATCCATAATGCATTGAGTGCCGCCCATCCATAATGCATTGAGTGCCACCCATCCATAATGCATTGAGTGCCACCCATCCATAATGCATTGAGTGCCGCCCATCCATAATGCATTGAGTGCCGCCCATCCATAATGCATTGAGTGCCACCCATCCATAATGCATTGAGTGCCACCCATCCATGATGCATTGAGTGCCACCCATCCATAATGCATTGAGTGCCGCCCATCCATAATGCATTGAGTGCCACCCATCCATAATGCATTGAGTGCCGCCCATCCATAATGCATTGAGTGCCACCCATCCATAATGCATTGAGTACCACCCATCCATAATGCATTGAGTGCCGCCCATCCATAATGCATTGAGTGCCGCCCATCCATAATGCATTGAGTGCCGCCCATCCATAATGCATTGAGTGCCACCCATCCATAATGCATTGAGTGCCACCCATCCATAATGCATTGAGTGCCACCCATCCATAATGCATTGAGTGCCACCCATCCATAATGCATTGAGTGCCGCCCATCCATAATGCATTGAGTGCCACCCATCCATAATGCATTGAGTGCCACCCATCCATAATGCATTGAGTGCCACCCATCCATAATGCATTGAGTGCCGCCCATCCATAATGCATTGAGTGCCGCCCATCCATAATGCATTGAGTGCCACCCATCCATAATGCATTGAGTGCCACCCATCCATAATGCATTGAGTGCCGCCCATCCATAATGCATTGAGTGCCACCCATCCATAATGCATTGAGTGCCACCCATCCATAATGCATTGAGTGCCACCCATCCATAATGCATTGAGTGCCGCCCATCCATAATGCATTGAGTGCCACCCATCCATAATGCATTGAGTGCCACCCATCCATAATGCATTGAGTGCCACCCATCCATAATGCATTGAGTGCCACCCATCCATAATGCATTGAGTGCCACCCATCCATAATGCATTGAGTGCCGCC